TGTATGTATATACACAGTATATACTTTATTTTAAAAATGCCCAAGCCAGGTATGGACTATAAAATATGGACATAGCATAGATTGGTGTAAGGGTGTTGCATTGTTGGCATTATTGCAATAATTCATTATCATTTTTATTGCCTTTGCTAAAAATCTCTGGCATGGATTTTTGTCTTTTTCCTAGTTGGGGACAGCCTATATTCCATGTTATGTAAATTTAAGGTTGAGAGATTTTTATTTTTATACTGCATAACTAGCTTACATTTGTATTTCCTCCAACTGAACTGTGTTTGCCACTGGTTGATGACTCATCCTGTGAAATCCTTCTAGAACTCTTCACAGACACACTGGTTTTTTAAATCATCCTGAATAGTTCATTTTTTGAAAACAGTGAAACTGTGAATAACCACCTTCTCTGGTTGCCAAACTAGGAATCTGGGTTTATATATGAAGTGGAAAATTCAAACAACCAGCAAATAATTGTATCTTCATCTAAAAAAGCTACAGTATCTTCCATGCTGTAATTTATGTTATATATTACGTTTAATGTTTTTAAGAAAATTGGAGGTTTCAGCTCAAATGACAACTCTCTCTTTCTGTTACCTTCAGTCATCTAATTATTCATTCAATCCTCCGTGTGTGTGTGTTTGTGTGTCTGTGTGCATGTGTGTGTGTGTTTTGGTGGATATCACAAAGTAATTGTTTTCAATGCTTCAAAACAGAAACTTGAGAATTAGTTTAGAATATCCACAAACCAGACTGTGAGGTCTAGTCCCACCTTAACCATGAAAGTTGGCTGGGTGACTTTGGGCCAGTCACTCTCTCTCAGCCCACCCCACCCCACAGGGCTGTTGTAGAGAAAATAGGAGGAAGGAGTATTAAGTGTGTTCACTGCCTGGAGTTACTTGTAAAGTAATCAAGGTGGGATAAAATATAATAAATAAATCGGGTGAAGGAAAAATATGGCTTTCTGCATTTCTACCTCCACTTATGAAATGAATGGCAGCACTGTAGATATGGTTCTGCAGAAGTGCCCACACAGTGTATGACCCTTTTGATTCAGAACCTCTTCACAACTAAACCACCCTTTTCAGTAAACTTTGTGATATAGCAAAAAAATCTGAAACAAGAGCAAAGTCCTCTTTCAACTGAGTTCAGCTGTTTTCATAATAGAAATGATTAATATTGGTAATATGTAAGAAAATAAAGGTACTGTTCTTATTCCTACAGTAATGTTGATAATTACAATAACAGTATTCGCACCACTGTAACATAGTATCTATCTGGGTGGTTTTTTTTAGGGATTGTTGTGAGCTGCCTAGACTCACTGAATGATATAAGTTCTGCAAATACAGAAATAGACTGTGATGCACCTGTTTCTCAACAGTCACAAAAAAGAGCTAACTTCTATGCTATCTTCTGTAGAGTGCAAAGCTGCCAATCCATTGTGTTCAAACGAAGGCTAGGATGCTTCAAAAGAAGAAATGCAAACAAAGCAAAGCAAGAACAAGGCTAACTTCCTTCCTATCCACCACATGTGAAATGTCAAGTTACAGTTAATCAGGTGATATGCAGCCTTAACCAAGCTGACTTGATGAAAGTATTACTTTTTGACTTCCTTATTGGAATGACTTGGCTGCCATTTCGATAGTGCTGTTGTTTATGCCATGTAACCTTTATTTTTATTTCTTTATGATGAACTTGTATGATGCCCATCTCAAGCCAATGGTTCTGGGCTGTGAACAATTGTGAAATCAACTAAAAACCAATATACAGGAACATTAAAAATAAATAAGTAAATATATAGAGCAACTGAGAAATTTGATAATCCAATATAGGTTTTTGTCCTTCTGGACAAGATTTCTTTCTTTCTTTCTTTCTTTCTTTCTTTCTTTCTTTCTTTCTTTCTTTCTTCCTTCCTTCCTTCCTTCCTTCCTTCCTTCCTTCCTTCCTTCCTTTTTTCTTTCTGGATACTGCCCAACTCCTAGCCACTCGGGGTGGTTCATTAAGTAAAAAACACAGGAAGAAATAATAATAAAACCATAAAGACAAGGGACAAAAAGAACAAAAGTGAGCAGCTTAGGAATGAATGAAAGACAGAATGTGTTTCTAATTCTCTCCACCTCTACTTTACAAGAAAGTGAAAAAAAAAGAGAAGGTATTTAAATTGTGATGAGCAGGCCTAGATAGAAAAGAACACTTGTGGGGAAACAACACAGTTCATCTCTTGCCCCTATATGAATCTTCTGGGTTAGACAGTAGATCTGTGGATGCGAATGAATTTTAAAAAATATGGCTAAACTAAGCAATCTGCATAGTTATTAAAATAAGATCTTACTGCTTCTAGCCCCAGCCAAAAGGTATAATGTTTTATTACACATGCTTTAGATTTGTACTTCCTCTTCAGTCAAATTACATAGCTACCGTAAATCCAGGAAATTATAAATTAATATTCCCAGCTTTGCTTGACATGGGTTTATTAAGGATGAGTATTCCATTATAACTGCATCAATTAAACAGTAATGACAGGTTGTACTAAATCCGTTTCATTTCAAAAGGATGGTTTGCTTTCGCCAATCTTTTCTATCATGACAGTCAAGTGATTTCCTGGAATAGGAACCCACTATAGGGTTGTGAGTAACATAAAGTCCATAGTCTAGTATCTTTGAAAGTTGCTACGGCTAGATATGTTTTCTCACCGTTTCCTTCAAGTCATGTTTGGACTAATGCCCTGCATTTCTTATGGTATTTTGCTCATGGTAATTTGTATCATTCTCATTTTGTGTGTGGGCATAGGATTCCAATGTGAAATGGAGATGGGATCAACCAGCTTCCCCATATCACCTGAATTCACTCCAAGTTCCTATTGAGGGCATACTGGGGAAGAAAAGATAATGGAGTGCTGGATGTTCAGATACATATACCTTCTCCAACTTGCCATCCTCTGAGGACGCTGCAATGGTCAAGATCCCAACAGAATCCCAGAAGTTTGAAAGAACACTGGATTAGGGAGGGTGATGTGATGTTTGTGTGTGTGTGTTCCCCAAGATTCCTTCTTGGAACTTGTTTGGAAAAACTTATGGACTGACTGGATCCTCAAGGTTTTGATTGGAGAACTGGATCCTCCTAGCCTGGTTCTCCCTCCTCCTGCTGCACTAACTACGTATACTTCTGACATGCCCCCACCCCATTTTTTTAACCTGATGCTTTTCCTTTTCCCCCTCGCCAAAGTTGTCTGCTTATAGCCCATATCCTTCCCTTTCCACCGAACCTCCATGCAATGCTCCACTAAGGGCACCCCAGAGCCAAAGCTAAGCAAGTTCCATACCCTTGGAGAAATAAACCTATTTTGTAAAATGTTAAGAGTTGAAAAAGGTTCTTGAGGTGGGAGTCCAATCCCTGATTTTTTTGCAGGAATCCAGATAAATGCATCATCGGCTTTGGAGAGTATTCCGGCTTCTCCTTAAAGGCAGCCCAGCAAAGGGAAAGGCTATTCCGCTTCCAGCACTGGTGATCCACTTCTGAGCCAAACTGACCTGACTCTAAAGAAAAATGTGTCCATGTTTAGGAAAAAAGGTTGCTGTATTTGGGGAGGGGGCTTCTCTGTATATGGCTGTCTTTTCCCAAGACAAGGCAGCCATATACGGGAAAACAAAGAGACCCCATGTATATTCTATTAAGAGGAGAATCTATGCATATTCTTCTAGATACAGGAAGGGCAAAACTGATACTTTTTCTGCTTGACACATGAGATCTTGAGTAGAGATTATGGGTTTTGCAGTCTGTCATATCTGGGGTGGTGGTTTTGGGATGGAGGTTTTGGGATGGAGGCATTCTTAAGGCAGCTTCAGATGTTTCAGCTGCATCCCAGGCTGAAGTTCAGCTCTGGCACTGAGATATTATCCTGGAGGTCTGTTAAAATGGAAAAAAAAATATTTTATGAGGCCCTCCCTTTCATTCAGCTCAAGGTCGGGTAAATAATAAGTAAACATGCCACTTTGTTTTCATAGTTTTGAAACTATAAATTATAGGATTTATCAGACACTTGGTGGACTCTGAACCCAAAAACTTCTAGGTTCCAAACATTTATGTATGCCGAATGTTTTAAATTAAAAAAAAACAGCTGTGATCCTCTCCAACTGCTCTTCCTCCCGGATGGGGCGTGGGTGGGCTCAGCTCGAAAATAACGAGATGGTCACCCTCCTCTGAGCCCGACTCAACCCCTCGATTTCAAGGCAGGCTGGATCGCGGGTCGTTACCGACAGGGCGGGGGGGATGGTTCGGATGGTTACGTGCGCGTGGGTGTTGGGCTGGCAGGAAAAGATTTGCGGAGCCCTAGGAAGGGTCCACGTGCCCCGGCTTTTTGCATTTCAAAACAAGAATCAAGGGTTTCCTTCTTTCGTGCAATGTAACCAACACGCCGCCAAACTTGGAGAAAGGGGCGGGGAAGAGAAGTCGGACTTCCCCCCCTCCCGCCGCCGCTGGTTTTCAATAGCCTGATTTCTCAGAAATCAGGCTCCTCTATACAGCGGCGTGCCTGAAGCGCTGATTGGCCGCAGCGCAAAGCTTTCGGAGCGCTGATTGGCTACGGCGGCAGGATTTGTGTCTCCCCCCACCACTCCAGGAGGGGGATTCCCTGACCTGTAGAATAATACAGACTCCCCCTGGAGAGTCGGCTGCAGAAACGGAGAATATCTGAAGCTGAGCACAAGTGGAGCTTGCACGAGACGTTGTCGATCGCTCGGGTGTTGCCGAAGGGTGTGATTCTCGATCAAGTCCTGCAAGGTGGGTCTTGGTCCAGCTCCTGGCGCCTAAATCACTTCGCAGTTCGGTGCAAGTTAGAATAGAATAGAATTCTTTATTGGCCAAGTGTGATTGGACACACAAGGAATTTGTCTTTGGTGCATATGCTCTCACTGTACATATGGAGAATAAAATACAATCATTGAGAATAAAAAAAATACAACACTTAATGGTAGTCAAAGTTAATATAAATTGAAAAATGCAAGCAACATAGTTACAGTCATAAGTGAGGAGAGAGATACTAGGAAGGAAGTGAATAATAATAATAATAATAATAATAATAATAATAATAATAATAATAATAATAATAATAATAATAATAATAATAATAATAATAATAATAATAATACATTCTTAGTAAATAATTTGACAGTGTTGTGGGAATTAGTTGTTAAATTGATGGCATTTGGGGAAAAAAATATCCTCGTGTCTAGTTGTTCTGGTGTGCAGTGCTCTATAGCGTCGTTTTGAGGGCAGAAGGTGAAACAATTTATGTCCAGGATGCGAGGGGTCAGTAGATATTTTCACAGCCCTCTTTTTGACTCGTGCAATGTACAGGTCCTCAATGGAAGGCAGGTTGGTAGCAATTGTTTTTTTTCTGCAGTTCTAATTACCCGTTGAAGTCTGTCCGTCTTGTTTGGTTGCAGAGCCAAACCAGACCGTTATGGAGGTGCAGACTCAATAATTCCTCTGTACGCTGGGCAATACTCACCTGAATAACTTTCACCCACCGGAGCGGTTCCGTGGTCTCGCAGGAATGAGGCGGGTGGGGTGGCAGGAGCGCTCTTAAGACCACCGAGGCTAGGATCGGAGGTTTAAGTAGATCCACCGGGGTCTACTTGATTATTTATTTATTTTTGCTCTGCGATGATCTGCAGGTGCCTTTCCCCCTTAGCCCTATTTAGACAGGGAGAAATCTAGTCTGGGGGCATCCGAAGCGGTTAATCGTTTGCAGCAAGAATTTCTTTAAAAAGAAAAACTTTCTTTCCTGGCCAATTGGGATCTACTCCGGTGCCGGGAGACTCTCCCGTTGTAAAGCGCGTTAAAAAAGGCGGAAATGTTCTCAAAGTACATGAGTGGTGGGTGCGGTGACTTCTAGTCCCGCCGCCACAGGCAGAAAAGTCGGGTTTGGTGACTTTGGACCAGCCAGTCTATCTCAGCCCAACCCACCTCACAGGGTGGTTGTTCTGGGGAAAATAGGAAGAGGGGGAAGGTATATGCATTTTTTCGTCGCCTTCAGTTCTTTATTTTTTTTAAAAAAACCAGTAAAGGCGGGATATATACAAATAAGATGTATTCCCGCTGCTTGTAAGCGCGGAGTCAGGTGTTTGCAGAAGCGCGCACGCACAGCGGCTTCAGTAGAGCTAGCGCAACAGATGCTACCGGCGCTCTGTAAGGGAAAGCTGGCGAAGTGAGAAAGGCGCATGTGTTGTGTTAGTTTTTAAATGGCAATGGTTAGTTTTTAAATGGCAATGGTTAGTTTTTAAATGGTAATACTTGTATTTGCAAAGTTGCAAAATGTTAGTGGCTTGGTTGGCTCTGTTTGTATCCGAGTTTTGCCAAAGAGAATTGTGTGACCATGATTTCCAGTAAATGGGTGTTGCTGTTGCTTTTGTTGTTTGGACCAGGAAGTAGAGCTTGGAGAGAGAAGAGAAAAGAAAGGGGCGGAGTGAGGAGAGACGGACCAACTGTTAGCTCTGGGTATCTTTGAGTGCAGTCCAGAAATTCCAACAGGAGAATAAATTTTAAAACAAACCAGAATTTTGGAAAGGATTGCGGAAGAGGCTGGATAAAGGAGTAGAGATCTCCATTGGGCTGCTGTTCTCTTGAAGCCCTTGCAGGGATGAATACATGTGAGACAAACTGGTGGCACAGAAGAATCATAACACACCCGGCACAGAAGGATCATGCTTCAAATTTAAATATTTCAATTTGACCATTCAGACTTTGCTGATAAACCACCTCCACCCCCTTGCATTCAGCATAGAGGTTTTTCCATGGAAGTAAATATATGATTTGCATTTGCAGGTGTCTCCTTAAGCGTCCTAGGGCAAACACATGCAGTGCATAGTTTTGCTCCTGTAACAAGTGCATGAAAATGTAAAATTCCTTTGGTTCACCCTTTGGAATACCCTTTGCCACAAGAGCCTTGGAGATCAGTGTCATACATAGGAATATGCTTTGCCAGAAGGAATCTTGACACCAGCTAGAGCTGAATTACAAGCTTGAATTGGCTTGGGACCTTTGTAAGTCCTTGTAAGTCCCTACTATTACCAGTAGTTGGAACATAGACGATTCAAAAGGCTAATTGTAAACCTCTCGAAAAGCAGCAGATATTCTTGACCTTTTTCTTCGTAAATGGTCTTGTTAAGGATTTAAACAATAAAGATGAGATCCTTTTTATTAAAGTTGAATTAATTGTGTTTCTCCCTGAATGAAGTTGTGCACTCTGAAACCATCTGGCCCTGATCCAAATCTTGCAAACAGGAAATCTTCAAGCCTTGTGTTTGCTAGTGTGCCAAATGACAACATTCCCAGTGCAGAATCTCATGCTGTTTTATAAAAAAAATTCCCCTAAGTATAAGGAACATTTTCAGCTCTGATTCTTATTACTGTGAGTAAAAGGCACTCTGCATCTGTTAGGCATTTCAGGGGAAAGTTCACTAGCTAGAAATATCATTAAACTTAGAAAGAGTTGTCCAAACTGAATATTAGGAGGTAATAAATCCAGCTGCATTGGGAGGGCGGAGGTCAATGTGATAAAAGCTGGACTGGGGTGTGGCTATCTAAGCCCTATTCTTGTTATAGATGAGTGGAACTTCTGTTGCATTTTTGTTCTTCTGACAAAAGAAAAAAACTTAGATGGACACCTACATACAAGCAGTGCAGTTATTCTGCAGTCTCTTCCTCCCTCCTTCCCTCAACCAGGATAGCATAAGGAGCTGGATTGGAGCTGAGTAGACTCACAGGAGATGGGGCAACAATTCCTAGATGAACTGTTCTTAAGTATATATGACGCCTGATCAGGATATTTGAGGATCTGATTCTCTGCAATTTTATTGCACCCTAGCCTGTCAATGCACCCATGATGAAAAAAAACCCTCATTTGTACAAGTTTTGTTAAAGCTATTTGGAAATTGGGGGACGGGGAGAAATAGAGAAAAGCCATTTCCACTTTACCTTGGAAGATGAAAATTGCCTTTTGGGTAGCTTTTTATTTTTAAAGATATCTATAGGAATAGTTTGTGTTACAATTTGGTCTGACGGTGCCATCTGAAAATTAAACATGTTGTTCCCTGAAAAAATCTTTCCAGTTTGGTTTTCATCTAAGCTGCAAACATTTTATAATTTATGAATAGCTGTAGCTCCCACTAGTCAGTTAAATTTGTAGCATTCTTAAGAAGTGATGCTTCAAGAAAAGAACTGTATTATATCAAAGTTTAAGGGGTAAAACAAAACACTGGGAATGATCAGGTGGGAGATGATCTCCCTTAAACTTTGCCTGCTGTTTTGATGGGGTTATTCAAGAAAATATACGTTTTCAGTTTCCTGTTTTCAGTAATAGTAGTATTTTAGTTTGAGGGAAAGAACAGAAGACAAAATGGAGTTTGGGACCATGGGAGGAATTTATCATGTGCACCTGGAAAATACAATAATCCTGGGCCATTGTTTGATGACTCAAAGCTCTTCTCTGAGAGCTCCCCCACACTTGTCTCACATCAGTGGTGGGTTCAGTTGCAACGGGGCTGGGCGCATGCATACGTATTGTCTGTGATACCTCTGCGACGCTCCAGCTGCTCAGTGGAGCATTGCGCAGGCGCCATATGCTCTGTGTGCGTGCGCGGAAGCCCCAAAAACCTCAAGTACTGGTAAGGAGTGTGGATGGGTTCTCCGGAGCACCATACTGGAGCAGAATCTGGTGCTCCCGGTAGGCACAGGTACGCCCGTACTATACCCGTCATAACCCACCACTGATATGTATACATGCCACCAGTGCTAATATGGTTCTTGATACATTTCTGATACCTTCATTTAGCCCTTCCTGCTATTTTGATCAAAATCATAAAACCATATAGAAAGGTACAATTAAAATAGAATGAGAAATAAAAGCAAAGTAAAGGATAAAAGGCAGAGAGAATGCCCTCAAGACACCAGCCCCTCCAAGGTTGCATTGTGTGAATTATATATATAATATTTTTCAGAGTATAAGATGCAAGATTTGTAGGAGGCTTGTAGAGTGGTCCAGGGGGCTGGGGTTCTCATTTGTTTTTGCTCTCCCCAGCCCCCAGGAGCACTTTGCAGGCCTCCCAAATCCTCTGCACATCCATTTTTGTGAAGGGGGTGGGGTTTCAGGAGGCCAAAAATGCTGTATTCAGTGTATAAGATGCACCTAGATTTTCAGCCTCTTTTTTGGGAGGGGGGGGGGAAGGTACCGAAAAATACTGTAACTCAAGGAGGGGAATTTACCTAGACTGCTGCTTCCTATTTTCCCACAACAATCCAATGAGATTGGTTGGAGCTAAGAGAGTGACAGGCCCAAAAGTCACCCAGATGGTTATCACACCTAAGGCAGGAGTAGAATTCAGTTTCCTGACTTCTGGGCCAGCATCTTGACTGCTAACTAGATTGGCTTTTCACATTATTGATTTAAAAGTAACATAATTGTAACACTCATGATGTGATGATACTAACTTTCTTAGTATCTTGTACTTTGTGAAGCACTGCACATACAGATGATGTTATATGAATAAAAACACTGGTTTCTTTATAAGGTAAATTAGAGGAAATAGATTTAAATAAACAATTTTAGGGCAAACAATATGAGCCAAGATATTTCTAGAAGTTAGAGATTTTATTTTGTGCTTACAGTCCCTGACTTTTCTTTTTTAGAGCCAGAATGCCACAAACAAGGATGCGCATGAGACCTTGGCTGGAAATGCAGATTAATTCAAATAAAATTCCTGGACTTCATTGGCTCAATAAGGTATAGAAAACTTGCATTCTTGCAATATCTTTTAAAAGGCTAGCTTTGTGTACTTTTCTTGCTTTAAGTTTAAAACAAGGTTATTGTAGAAAATGAAACATTATAGTGGGGAAAGCAGTGAGGCTTCAGTGCAATAATTTGTTGCTGAAGGGGAAAAAAATGCCAAGATCAAAAGAGCAAAAATATTAAAAGAAACTGAGAATGCAAATTAAATAAATATTTAATGTATTTGATGTTATGTTTAAAATTAATTTTAATGTCACTCTGAACTCTACAACTGAGATAACTTGATAATATGTTCTTGCACTTTTATAGCTTTTTAAAATGCCAAATAATTGAGATATGTAAGAGATTCGGGCATGGCTAATAAAGCTCATTTTTCTTTGGCTAAGACTGCATCCAGAATATTTACATATGTTATAGTAAACTCTAGGAAAATAAATTAATATGCCTTTGTTTATTTTGTTTTATACAACAGCTTGTTATGAAATGCTATGCTATTGAATTTGCAGCTATATTCAGTAGACAAGACAAATGCTAAACGAAATAAATCATCAGAAGTGTAGGCTTGTCTACTACTTGGTTAATGCATAGATCGAGGGATGTTCTTCATTTCCAGCTTTATATCGTTTTCTTGATTTCCTTTCGTCTGTGCCATTCAGAGATGCTTATTCAGAATTGTATTTTTTTTTCAATTGCAGAAAGATAAAATGTTCCAGATCCCTTGGAAACATGCAGCTAAGCATGGGTGGGAACTGGAAAAAGATGCCTGCCTGTTCAAAAACTGGGCCGTTCATACTGGTATGTGCCATTTTATCCTGGTGATGGTGAAACATTTCTAGAGATTTTCTAGAGACTCAAACGGTTACTGTATTTGAGGGAGGAATCATCATATTAACACTAGCCAAAGGAATCCCTTTTCCTTGCCTTGCCTCTTTAGGCGAAGAGTTTGTGGTTTCTTCTTGAGTATCTGTGGTCAATATACTAATAGGGAGTTGCACGCTGTAAACAATTCGGGTTTCAGAATGCATCAGAGCCCAAAGGCAGTGCCTTCTTACAACATGCAACATTTTTTTAAGCTTGCATGAAAGTCTGACAAACAGATCTTGCTCTTGGCCATTCCAAAACAACTCTAAATAGTTTTTGAAGCAAGGACAACCCCAGCATTTACTAGTTAAAACAGCTGGAAAGGACTGTGTATTTATCCTGGAACTAGTTGATAATATATATGTTCAGCGGCTGACTTGTGCATATTTGTAGCACGCAGAAGCCCATAAGTTTGTGCTATTGCACAGTGTTTCCATGTCAGAGTTATAAGCATCCTAAGAGTTTTGACCAACATGAACAACTGATGAGAGAATCAATTGTTCATTGCTGAAGTGTTCTTGAATCTCCCTTAATATGTATGTTGTTACAGAAAGATGATGGTGATAATATTACAACTGCCTCTTGAGCCTTTCCGTATTTTTCTACCTTTCTCCTCCCCCCACTTGATTTTTTGGTTATCAAAAATGGCTCTTGTATGTTGTAAATGGTTGTCTGATGTATTCAAAATGTATGTGTTTATTTAAGAAACACACAAATATGTATTGCTGCCCATCTTAATCTCTGTAACTCTAAAGTGCAAATAAAAAATAAAATAAAAGCACAATAACAAGGCCCTCTTTGTGCCATTTCACAAGTCATAATTCACTAGCAATAGATAAGTAAGAAGTTGTTCATAGAATAGTTAAATACAGTTAGTCGAATGTGTCACCTAATCATATAGTCATAGGTGGATTGGGCCTATTGGAATCAGTGGGGTCACCTGGTAATAGCTAACTTCTGACTTCAGTTGATACCTTCAATAACTAAAGTTTGTTATTAACAGTATGTTTATATGTCTGAATTACACTAAACTGCACAGAGTGAAAAGAGACAATGTCAAGCACACCGAAATGACAGTGGGTTCTTTTCAGGACCTTAGTATAACATGTCAGGATCCTGCTGGCTGGATGTGGTTTTTACTTTGTTTCTTGCATACCTAGATTTACACCATCTGTCTTTTTACAGGGAAATACAAAGAAGGTGATGTAGACCCTGATCCAAAAACATGGAAGGCAAATTTCCGCTGTGCCATGAATTCCTTGCCTGACATTCAAGAAGTGAAGGATCAAAGCATTAGCAAAGGACCCAGCGCTGTTCGAGTCTATAGGATTTTACCCCTAGTAAAATCAGAGAAAAAAGGTATTGCTCAAAACATACGAAGTTTGGGTATGATTCCCAATACTTATAAAATTTGTTACATAAAAGGGAGCCAAGTTGTCAGTTTTATGGCAACAGCTAAAATCCATAGTAAAAATGTCCAAGAATGGCTATGGCTTTGTGGCCAACAGAACTACATTCTTGCAAACTTGGAGAAGAAAATATTATAAGATGGATAATGCCGAAATTGTCCGGCAATTGCATTGTCCATCACCCATTCTCTCTTAAAATGTCTTTATGCTAAGCCTGTGTTTTTGTTTTTGTTTTTCAAACAGAAAGAAAGTCAAAGTCTCCAAAAAGCAAGAGCCCAAGAAAGGTATGTACTTAAAAAGATTTGTATGGCTACCCACCCAAAAACACAACACTGGGTTAGCTGGCCATAACACTAATATCCAGAACCATTAAAATCATAAAACGTATCATAAAAAACATAAACTATGTAAAACCATACATACAACGTATGTCTTTTCTTCAATAGCTTAATCACTCCTGTTGAAGGAAATGCTTGTAGTTCTCAGTTTACAACCATTCATTCAGTAACCTTTCCAAGTTCCAATGGTGCTGAAAAAAAGTGATTTATGACTATTTTTCCACACTTAATGGTTGCAGTATCTCTGGGGTCACAGGATCAAAATCCAGACACTTAGCAACTTGGCGTGTATTTTATGGCGGTTGCAGCTTCCTGGGGTTATGTGATCCCCTTTTTGTGACTTTTTCATAAGCAAAGTCAACGGGGAAGCAAGATTCACTTAACAACCATGTTCCTAACCTAACAACCGCATTTAACAAATGTGGCAAGAAAGGTTGTAAAAGTATTTAACAACTTTCTTGCTCAGCAATGGAAATTTGGGGCTCAATTGTGGTCATAAGTTGAGGACTACCTGTAGAGAAGCATTTTGGGAGTCCGCTGACATATTTTTAGTTTCTTGATTACTTTTTATCAGTTACCTAATTCCCAGCTTGCTCAACTGTCCCACTCATATATCCTAGCTATAGATAATTGTCATCTAAAAACCATTTCATTGTATGAAAATAAATCTTAAGCAAGAGAAGGAATGCTCCAATAATTTACTACTGCTGAAAGTTGTGCAGAAATACATCCCAAGGGGATAATACTGATTACAACTAAACAAACACATTCACATGTCTTGACCTTAAAATGGGTCTCCAACCCCTGGTCCATGGACCACGGCATGTCAAAAACTGGGCCATGCAAACAAGCGAAGCCCCATGCGTGGGATGCAGGCAACATATGAAACCATTCTCCCTTTGGTCAGCAGAAAAACTTTTCCACAGAATTGGTCCCTGATACCCAAAAGGTTGGGGGCCACTGCCTTAAAAGACATAAAGTTTACATTTTGCCATAATCTGGTCCTTCCTCTTTTGCAGTCAGTCGAAGATATTAAGGAAGAAGAGACAGTCAAAGCAACAAACAGCATTCAGTTGCCTGATGACCACAGTGGCTATGTGCTTCCCAACTATGCAACAGAGGACATGGAAGTGGGGAGCACATTTGGTAAGAAACAATTTTAATCAGTTGTGTGGGTCCCCCAAGAAAAAATCGTGCCTGCTAAGTCCATTTTCCAGTTTGCTTGAGTAAAGAAAAGTTAGGCTGTCAGGGATGTTAAGGAATTAAGATATTTTTTTTCTTTTATTCAATTGGAAAATTTCTCAAAACTAAAGAAAATGAAAAGATTGGATGTATATGACCACCTGAAATGGGGTTGATTAGGTTTGTGGTTGAGTATGTTGTAGGAACTTGGACATTGAATTAGCATTTGTGATCATCGGCTAAAGCTGCAATATGTATTATTTGTCTGGCATAGCATCTCATGTTTTGTTCATTCCAGTGTTTGTGTGTGTGTGTGTGATGTCAATCATTTTGTTTGTGTGATGTAATGTATCTCTTGCATTATAAATCTCCTACTTTCAATTTTTTAGGTGTTTCATATGAATTGAACAATGATGCCTGGAGAAATTGCCAAATGGATATGCCGACCCCTGACAGCACAAACAATCTTTACAGACTTCAGGTTTCACCCTGCTGTTCGTCTTCTGAAGGTTAGTATTCAATTGTTCAGAACCAGCGGATTGATCATAATTGGATTGAGGGACCCAGAACCAAGAGAACCGCAGGATTTAGGTCAACTGCCCACATGGATTGGACTTTCAGCTGCAAGAATCCCTTAGATAATACCATTTTCAGCTGCTTGGAGCTGAGAATCAGATTAAGGAAGGATGTTTAGATTGTCTGCTCTCTACCTTCTTTTTAAAAAGTCAAAGCTTCCTATGTAGTCTCATCTCATTGGATGCATTCTTTGTTAGAATTAGGTTTTATGGGGGTGATGTAATGATATAAAAGTGGTTTATTTTTTTAAATTTAGCTTACTACAGACCTCACCCAGTGAAAGTTAAGCCCATGTAAATCTGATTGATTTTATTAAGGGAATGGAAATACGTATCTAAATCTCTCCTATTGAAATAGAGACTTATAAATACTTAATTACAATCTACCTTTTACAGTAAAAGAATTCTAGATATTAAGCCAGTGTGAACTGAAGACAGGCATTACTTGTATGAGCATAAATTATACAATGCTTTATTTTAATTTTGTCATTGACTAGAAAGGTGTTATTGTTGATAATAGAAAACTGGAAAATAAGCATTTAGTAAACAAGAATTCTGAAATTCATTGAGTATGTTTCTTTTCTCTTCCCCTTCCTTTACCTGATGGCTTCGTATGACCTCACAATAACTGATGAAGATGAGGAGAGTCCACTGTACGACTTGGTAAGACTCTCTCTCTATTTAAATAATTTTGGCTTTGTAAATAATTTTGGCATTGGGACAATACGTGAAGTCCAAGGGGAGTAATCAAAGGGGTGGGCGGGCATGCAATGTGTACAAGAGTTCCCATTTGTCTTGGTTGTGAAGGGATACTTTAGGGCATTATATGCTGGCCACGCCCACACCCGGTTTAGTGAAGGGGATAAAAAGTCCCAATACGTCACTTGACAACGCCATGACGATGCAAGTTTGACACTCCTGCTTTAGGAAGTCTTTCTTTGCTTCTGAACCACATTAGATTGCAAGAATCCATATAACCTAAGAATGAGGATGCAATCTTTGTTTTGTAACCTGCATCTTAGAAAGGAATTAATAGTGTTTTTGAATGGAACTAGAAAACAGTTCACATTGTTGATTTCTTTTATCTTTCCTCTCTGGCAGCTCTTCAACAGCTCTGAGTGGCAACCAAACAGCATTGGTGGAAAAGGCTTCCTATTAAATGAAGCTGGAATGCAGAATCTCTCCCTTGACTTTACTTTGCAAGAGCAAGATACTACCTTTGAGATACCAAAGCTAGGTATAAACATTTCACCTCTATCTTTGGATTATAGAAATGTATGGTGTTTCTCTTTATCTCATTAGAGCAGTGTTTCTCAACCTTGGCGACTTTAAGTCCTGTGGACTTCAACTCCCAGAACTCCCCAGGCAGCTCTGCTCTGAATTATGGGAGTTGAAGTCCATAGGACTTAAAGTCGCTAAGGTCGAGAAACTCTGCATTAGAGTATTATTAAATAACAAATCCCCTTTGTCACATGCAGATAGTCTTCGACTTACGACCACAATTGAGCCAAAAATTTCTGCTGATAACAAGCAAGGCAATTGGTAAACGAGTCACGTCACGTTTTATGACCTTATTGCCATGATTGTTACGCGAAGCACTACAGTTGTTATGTGACTCATGAGATGATTAAGCGAATCTGGTTATCCCCATTGATTTTCCGTACAAATCACCATTCCAAGACCCCAGAATGGCTGCACTCATTATAAATACATGCTGGTTGCCCAGCAACCAAACTTTGATCACGTGAATTGTGTGGTCACAAGTCTGAGACCTGCTCATAACTCATCTTTTTTCATTGCCTTTGTAACTTTGAATGGTAATTAAATGAATGGTTGTAAGTTGAGGACTATCTTTATAGGCTCTTCACTCTGATTTTCTACTCACTAATATCTTTAGGCTAGCATTATAGAGTCATACATTGTCTATTGTCATATTATCATAACAAAGGTTCTGGAAGCTAAATGTATTGCATTTCATTGATGTAGGGCTGGTTGGAATTGTGATTATACTGTATGGGCTAAGATCTACTTGATTTTAGACCTCTATCCACCTCTTTCAATTTAACGAGAGCTCTGTTGGGAGAGGGAAAATCATCATATGATTTTTGGTAGTTTCATTGAACTTGTGTTAGATATTCTACTACATTTTCTAGTGAAACCACATTCTAAATCTTGATTTCTCTTTTTTCTCCACAGAAGGAATGCCACATGAATTGAAATCCAGTGCAGAATGCACTTTGTTGGACATTCGAACACACTATGTACCCTCTATATCCTGTGGCATTTAAACCTTTTACTGTTTTATTTTGAAATGCTGACTTAAAAAATTGATACGTTCATTGATACTCTACATGTTTCGAATGGAAAAATCCAAGTGTTTTTTGTACAATATATGTATGTAGGAATATATTTGTGATAAAACTGTACATTTATCCCTAACTTCCTTATGAGCCAATTAAGGCTTGTTTGCTGCTTCTTTCACTCTGTCCATCCATTAGTAGGATTAGAGTATAAATAATTTTAAACATTGGGGGGGGGGGGACAGAAGCGTTTCATTGTTAGTAAATTGATGTATATTTTAAGACCATCCAGAGTATAATCTTAAAATTATTCTCTGGAAGACTAGTGGTGCCCAACCAGATATTTCTTGGTCATCTTTTTTTTCCTTCAAATTTCTCTTGGCTTTTAATCTGGAGCCCTATCTTAAAAATGTTATACTGTGAAAAACAGATAGTTGTTTGTTCCATACTTCTTCAGAATTTTATTTATAATACATTCCACTGGTTACTTTGAACTACTGCTACATTACATTATTTTCTCCAGTGAAAATATGTGTTGAAGTTGATAGGTGAATGTATGGATTATTTGCACTGTGCTTTTCAAGATGTCAACTGAATAGGTATTGTGAAGAGTGCAAAAAATGCATAATAGGGTTATATATATACTAAACCAGAAGATGAAGAAAAGGATTTGGCAAACTGTCAGAGTGCTAGGCTGCAGCTTTAATTCTTGTACATTCTTTTCCTTGTACATACGTTGTTGTATATAAATTACAATTGTCTTAATAAAAGATTATATATGAAGATATGTTTAATTTTCTTTTTTATAACCTGCTGACAAAGAAATTAGGAAAATATTTTCTTAACACAACTAGAGTTTCTATATACTTTTTAGTGCTGCTAAAAATAAAGAAAATAAAGACATTTTCTTCAATGAAAAGGAATATTCATTTTATCTCAAACAATAGGGTATATTATTTACCCATTCCTTTTATACTTCCTTGAACTTCTGAAGAATGGTGTATACAAACAAATTCATTTTCAACTAATGAAATATATGAAAAAGGTTTATTCAGGTTTAGTTACCCTAAGATTAAATCCCAAATCATTTTGAGAATTGGATTTGGAAACTAAAGATATGGATTGGAAAAGGTATAAGTCTATTTGATCAGTTCTTTAAAAACGTGTAAACAGCAGCCATATTATGCCAATCCATTTGCATTGAATTAATGAAGTTTTTCTGCATGTCAGGTAGTCCTCGATGTGCTACAATTGAACCCAAAATCTTTGTTGCTAAGCGAGACAGGTTTTAAGTGTTTTTTTTTTTGCTTCATTTTGGGACCTTTCTTGCTACAGTTGGTAAATGAATCCCTGCAGTTGTTAGTAACCCAGTTAAGCGAATCTGGCTTCTCAGTTGAGTTTGTCAGGTGGTTGCAAAAGGTGATCCCATGACCCAGAGACGCTGCAAACTTTGTAAATATGAACCAGATGCCAAGCATCTGAATTCTGATCACCTGACTATTGGTATGCTACAACAGTTATAGGTGTGAAAAATTGTCATGACTTTTTTCCCCAGTGCCATTGGCCATTAAATGAATGGTGGTAAGTCACAGACTATCTGTATATTCAAAAGAATGTCAGTAGATCAAGATCTANCTGGAAGCTTCCCTGAAGCCTCGGAAAGCAAAAAACCACCCAATGGACAACCCGGAAGTCGGAAACCAGATGTCCTCCTGGGGGGGAGGCTCTATTCACCCTCCCCAGGCACGGGGCAGCAGGGGGGGGTGCCACACACATATGCGCAGAGGGCGCGGTATGTGGGGCATTAAATTATGGGGTTGGGCAGGCAAGCACGCGCGATAGCACGCACGTGAGTCCTTTTGGCATCCAAGGCGAAAAAGGTTTGCCATCACTGATATATCGTTTTCCTTCTTAATTCTACAGAAAAGGGAAAGAGAGAGAGAGAGAGGGAAAAATAACCCTTCCTCAAAGACTGGTTTTAAGTTTTCGTGGGGAAATGTAAGAGTGGGTATAAAAAGGAATATGAGGGGGGGGGGCTTTGAGGATTTCCCCATATATATAGCAGAAAAACCCAGAGGAATCGATCTCGGAGTTTAGTTATACAGACTATATTATAAAAATAATTCATAAATATGAATTTATCCTTTGAAAATGGCATTAGGTTAATTTAAATTTTCTGGGATTCCCTGGTTAGATTGTAATACATTTATTCGTAATAGCATTTCTGATAGCAATGGCCACTTAGTTATTGATATTGGTGAAAATTATTTTGAAAAATTAAAAAAGAAATACTTAGCAATTGTTGGTAATTAATTCTAAGTAAGTTCATTGTTTAGTGTTATAAAGACCTAAACTGTTGTTCTATAAGAAATTCATTTTTCCCCATTACTCAGTATATTTACTATTACAAAACACTCAAAAATAGAAGTAGATCTTTCTTTGGAACAATGATTTCTCAAAATAGGAGAAATAGCATGACCTGAAAAATGAATATAACAACAAAGAGAAGCAAAATTAGAGAATATAAGGGGCCCTGAGATCATCTAACCCAGTGTTTCTCAACCTTGGCGACTTTCAGTCCTGTGGACTTCAACTCCCAGATTTCCCCAGCCGACTGGCTGGGGGATTCTGGGAGTTGAAGTCCACAGGACTTAAAGTCACCAAGGTTGAGAAACACTGATAACCAAACCCCATGCTCAGTGTAGAAACCCCACTATGCCATCCCTAAGAAGCTCTGCTTAAACATTTTGATCAAAGAGACCCCACCTTTCCTAGAGTTAGCTTCTTGTTTCAACAGCTGTTATTACTAGAATTTGTTTTTCAAATCAGGTCTCCCCTTAACTTGACAAGTTGCATTTTTTTAATGTTTACTTTTATACCCTGGGTTCATTGCTTTTCTTTATCGCAAATTCCTTTAAGTTGGGTGATCTATCATTTTACCAATAAACAAGAAAGTTACAATAAAAATAAATCATAGGAATATGTACACATACTTCCCTATTATTAATCCAATACCTCCACATGTACAGGTAGTCCTCAACTTACAAACCCAATTGGGACTGCAACGTCCATCACTAAGTGATGTGGTCATTAAGTAAGTCATCAGCTGACCCTGCCTGAGTTTACAACCTTTGCCATTTCCCGGAAACCAACTGGTCGCAAATGGTGACCATGTGACCACAGGATGCTACAACCACTGTAAATATATAACAGTTGCCAAGGGTCCAAATTGGGATCATATGACTTCAGGGATGCTGCAATGGTTATACATATGAGGGCTGGTCATAAGTCATTTTTTCAATGCCATTGTAATTTTAAACAGTTGCTAAATGAACTGTAATTACTAATATTCAGTTATTTTTTAAAGGGTTAACAATTTAATTCTCAACTCTAGTCATACAATGTGACAGGTGTTGTATGCTATTAAGTTTTATTGTACAGACAAGAAAAAATATATTTTGAGTCTAAATAATGCTATGATATAAAAGAACATTTTAAAACCTTGGTTTTGCAGATGCTTAAAACTCCACCCCTGTATCAAATCAATGATAGATATTAATAAATATCTATCTTTTATTTTATTTATCTAAAATAAATAAAATATATACCCCCTACAGAATAAATTAATGTTAGTAATTAGAAATGTTAGTAATTAGAAATCTAAAGCAAAGTTAGAAATATTTTTTATCCTTGAAACTCTTTCAGATCAGCATTTTTTTGCAAAAAAAATATTTTTTTCCTTTTTTTTTGTCCTTTATTTTTTCCAAGAAAATATGGTTACATGTTCTGTCCCCCCTTCTCCGCTCGTTAACAAACGGCAGGCAAACAAACTTAAAAGGAACTTTCTTTATCAGTTCTCAGCTCAGACTGGCTTCGAGCCCAAAAATAACATAAATACAGTCTCTGACTAGATAACAGAATACAAAACAAATCTCTCTTACAGCAACACAAGTTGAACAAAACGAAAGCAAANCTGCCCCCCCCTTCTTGAATGGTATGGTTGTTGTGTGTTTTAAATTGTGTATTGTTTGTTTGTCTTTTTTATCCCCTGTTTGTACCTCCTTTCCCTTGACTGAGTTGTGAGCTGCCCTGAGTCCCCTTCGGGGAAAAGGGCGGCATATAAATGAAATGGAATAAATGAAATAAATCCAGATCCCAAGTCTCAGTTTGAGAAATGCTGACTCAGTAACTTCCCATATGTTGTTTGCAAGGAAACACATCTGAGAAATACATGTGTCTCTTGGAATCCATGAATTGCAGAACTAAAATGTGTTTTTTTCAAAGTCAATGGTCAACTATGGGGAACTCCCAGCCTTCTGATTACTCAAGATTTCCACTCTCACATTTTTTTAAAAAAGTGCTTGGCAGAGCTAGTTTTATTTATTTATATGCCACCCAACCTTGCTATCCAAAGTGGCTCATGATTTATAATATTCACCAGAAAACTAATGGCCAATCATAATTCACCAACCTTTCTAGAAATGCCTCAGTTTTATTTTTTAAACATGTTTAAATAAAACCTGGATTTTTGGTGGTTTCCAAAACAAAACACGCTGTGAAAACAAGAATTAAAAAGGGAAAACTTATAAAGCCCTAGAAGCAACACAGAGGCTACTACTATTTGGTGCTCAACAAGAAGGGCTTTTTCCTAATACTTGTTTCACTCACAGAATTAAAAAAAAACATTTCTACTCCATAAAGAAAAAATAATTATTAGATTTATTTTCATTGTGAGAATCTGTTAAACCACTTTCTATACTCTGTAACTGAGCCTTTAATTAACGGAGCCAGAACTACCAGAACTGAGCCCCATTTAAGTGAATTTAAAACTATAGTTCAAGCTAGATACTCCCCGCTCGTTTCCGTTTGAAACAAAAATGTTCCTACAATGTCAGAGGATTCATGTAAATTAATTATTAGGTAGTAATGCAGTGTTTATTGTTGGATTGTTATTTTAATTTAAAAAGTCCTCACAGAGGATCTTCAAAGTTTTACTATCACTTTAAAATGACTTGAGATATGCCTAGAACAGGGGTGTCAAACTGGCAGCACTTAGGGTGGATGGGTCATGTGTAGACCACACCAGAGGTGGGTTCCTCTCAGTATGGTACAGTACTCCAGAAGAGGTAGTGAAAATCTGGTGGTCCAGACCAGTCCAGTTGCAATGGCAGCCAGGCCATGCCCCTGTACCTGCAAAAGAAAGAAACAGCCAAGGAAGGAAGAGGAGTGGAGGCCTCTGCTGTTGGAAGAAGCACCCATGCTTCATTCTCTTTGAGAGCTGCCTTGCTTGCCGTGGGGAGAAATCAGGGGGAGAGAGGGAGGAGAAAGCCAAGCTTCTGCTAGGGACAGCCTTCTCCTCCCTCCCTCCCCCTGACTTCTCCATGGCGGTGCTCGTGGAGGAAGGAGGCAGGGATGCTGGCTGACACTCGCTTCCCTTACTGCTTGCCACCATCACCCCTGCGGAATGGACTGTTACCGCCCTCTCCCCACTGGCTGCAGCCCCACCTGCCCTGCTTAGCTGGGTGGCTGGCCCGGAAAGCAGTGAGAGGGCGAGTGCCAGCCAACATCCCTGCCTCCTTCCTCTGAGAGCCGTGGCAGCAGGGAAACAGAGGCTTCTTTGCCAGCCTCCCAGCTGATCTGTCCCATCCAGCCCCCCTTACACATACATCTTGCGTCACAGCAAGTGTGGTGTGTGTGTATGTGTGTGTGTGTGTGGTCCAGGGGTGGGTTTCAAATTTTTTTACTACCGGCTCTGTGGATGTGGCTAGGTGGAGGGGCATGTG